ATGATTTTTCAGCTAAAATTTCTTTCTATTTGGTCAAACAATAGTTTAAGAAATGTGATAACTTTTGTGAATTAAATATACTAATATCATTAGAATTCCCAAGCCAGTTACTTTCTGTCATTTTTGGTATTCTCAAAAGCAGTGTCTTCATTCCAGTATATAAATCAACTACATTTCAATGGGCAAAACTTGATAGCTTTGCAATGATACTTACTTTCATATCTAATTTCTCAGAGTCATTGTATTTTCCTGTTTGTCAGTTGGGATAAACCAAATATGACAATATACTCCTGTTGGTATTCAAATACACTGAATTCTGGTATTGTTCTCCATGAAGACTATTCAGAGTTTCTTCACACCCCCAAGCCAAGTTGCATACACTGAATTTTAACCCAAATACATCCCTGAAAATATTTAGTTTGTTTCCAGTTGCTCCAAAACCATGGCAATATTCTTAAAGTCTCTCCTTCTGTGCAAATGGCACTAGGAGCCCTTCAGTCAGTGCACCTCAAAGGCAGCTGGGTAAAGGGCAGGAGAGGAGAATGTGACGTCTTTGGCCAGGGTTCTCATCTATGGTGATGGGACTTACTCGAGTCTGGAGCTTTAAATAATCCCCCCATTCCACACAGTTGTTCCCTAGCCCAGGACACGTTTCTCATGGCCAGCTTTATAAGTCTGGAGCTACCCACACCTTCAACCGACTTGCCTTTTGCAGATATGTGTGACACAGAGTATGGCTAATTTCTGCTGAACTGAACCCGTAATGAAGGAATTTATAATCAGTTCTAATGTATTTGAGACCTAAAGTATATTAGCCTTTCATCAAAGAGAATGATAAAAAGCAGCATTAATATGGGTGGTAGTAATTATCTCAGAGTGCATCATTACTCTCCAGTTAACTACGGAGAAATGCCCATACTTTCATTCCTTTCTTAAAAAATAAAAGACGCCGTCGTCAAATCCTGAAATGGAAGAATACATCACATGTCCTTTGTAAAGGCCTATACTTCGAACTATGCTTATGTTAATAACAAAGGAACTAGTTTGGGATTGTTAAACGAGTTCAAAGTTCACGGTTAGGAGTTCACGCTACCTTGCTCTGTCCTGTCGTTTCACCTCTGAATCTATTTATTGCCTACAGGAGATATAAAATACAGTAATTGCTCGTACTCCTTTCCACAGTGACATGAGGTCTACTTTCCTATTAACTCTAATGAGAGTTATGTCTATTTTCCGAAGGGAGGACAGACCCAATAGAGTCTCGAGATAGAATAAATTGCTTCTATGCTCAGGTTTTAGTGGTTTCATTTGCTTTATATTTTGGTGCTTTAAGAGACCGATTTTTAACGGCTAGTATTGAAAATGCAGTATCTGTTGTTTAAAAGAAGCATAAGCCATGGTATAGTGTTGTTAAAAATTGTTATTTCTGTTTGAAGGATAAATACTTTACCCTTTAGCAAAATCATGCTGTTCAATTCATAGAACATGGTCCCTAAAAGGTGATTGCCTAATTTTCACAGGAAAATTAATGCCAATTACCTTTTACAATATTTTTTTCTAGTAACAGGTTTTAATGTTCTCAGTTGCATTTACCACAGTGAAAACAAAGGGAAAGGGAGCCAGAGTTGTGGTTGGGCTGGGATAGAAGGGAGCTCAAGGCAGTTGTGTTTGCAGCATAGTGACCGGAATCTTGAGATCGTAGGAGGGTCTGTTTTTGTAATCCACAAACCTATATAGTTTTCCACTATCCGGGCTCTGCAGAGAAACCAGTGTTGAGTTTCTCAGTGTGCAACCCTGGACACTCAGATATTTATTCTCAAAGTTTATAGGCATAAAAATAAAGAAATCTTAGAATCCATTTGGCAAAGGTGGTAATCACCCTCTTCTTCACAGGAGACCTTCTAGACTCAGGTGTTTACAAAATTCTTAATAGTAGGAAAACTCACGTCTGCAAGAATTCATATAACGAGAACAATTTAATATCACCGAATAATAAAGTTTTATTTTGTATCAACAAATGTTATTCTTTAGTTAGGAGGCTTTGCCTTTTTGACAGTCAAAATGTCCTATGATCTGTAGGTATGCAATCACTTCTCCACATCAGTCAAGAGGCACACAGCTTCCTGAGTACTGAAGGTGAGCATAGCTAAGGTCTCCAAAAGCTGGGTCAGTCAGCCATTCCATCCGTAAAACGCTCTCTTACGGATGTACGTATGGTATCATTGTTAAGCTTTCCCTGCATATACCAACCCACAGTACAATAGCAGCTGAGAACTATGTCCCACATGCAAAGAAGTGGGAGAGGATGTTTTAATAAAAAGCCTCTTACTGTTACAGTTCATGCAGTCTCAAGAGTAGCGATTCTGGATGCCTGTGAAGTACAGGGTACCACTGGCTCAGAGAATGTGCCGTTCAATGCCTTCCTTAGAAACCATGCGAATTGCCCTAGGTACCCTTGGAGGGGAAAGAAAAGACGTCATCTGAATCATTCAAAAAAGATAGGTTATGTGCTGCAGAGCCCTGAGCAGAATGGAGATAGAGATTTAATTGTGGTGGGTTTTACATGTGCCTCCAAATATTAGCAAATTGATGATTCAGAGAAAAAAGAACTGAGCTCATATTAGTGGGGTTTTTTTTTTTTCCTTCTTCTTCTTCTTTTTAGAGAGATTTTTTACTGTACGGTGCATGGACTTGCCAGAGAAACAAAGAGAGGTATTCTACCAAGAAATCAGCCCTCAGTGGGGATGGCCTCACTGCAGTCCCTACTCCTCCATTCCCTTCCAGGGATCAGGGGCATGCAACCACATGCACCTGTAGTGAGTCTCAAACCTCTGGGTCTGGGACTTGAGCCACTGTCAGACATGTTGAATCCAGCACCTTAATCACTACGCTACCTGTTGGCCCCATCAGTGGTTTTTTTAATATGGCCAAGAATTAAGAAGATTAAGTGGTTTAACTAAAATCGAAAAGTAGGTAGTGATTTTAGAAGTAATAAATACTACTAGTGTAATTAATTTGTGTTGCTGAGCAGTAAATAAAAGCATAACTTTTATATAGCATCATGGAAAATAGAAATGTAAAAAAATATGTCTTGAAGTCTTTAGGTAATTGTGAAAAAACTTGAAAACATAATTTTTTTTATTTATTATATTTTTAAATTGGAGATATTTACAATAGAGTATTATAACTTAGCAATTTTAAAATTCAAATGAAAAAATGTTTCAGAAATGTAGCAATGGGTTTGCATGACCATCAAATAAATCTAAGGGTGTTTTTTCACTTACACAGGGTCATATTAAAACCACATAGATATCTGTGAACTTACAACTGAGTGCCAATTAATATGAACTATTGCTTTCCTCTAGGTTCTCTTTTAAGGGAATGACTGATTACAGGTGTAATTATAAAAGCATCACTTAATCTACCGTGTGTGTGCAGTTCCTTTGTATCTGAAATGACCTTGAAATGGTGACCTTACAATTGAGCGAGTCAGTGAGTCCCTTCAATTACATCATCAATTTCTGCTTTTCCAATCTTTTGATCTTTACCAGTTATTACTGTTTTTCAAAGCTCTCTCTCTGAGCTGATGAAACACAACTGTATTGTATCTCATTTTTTTCCTTCTGTTTTCTGGGATGATGGTTTTTATTCTTTGAGAGTTGTAAAGTAGGTTTAGTTTTGAATTACAAATATAATGCGCAGTAATCTCCAAAAAGACTTGGGAGTCTTTCTCAAAATGTTTAGCGATCCTTTCCTATGAAGTGTGCTTAGAGTTAATGCTTGTCCTTTACTATTTATGTTATTGAAATCAACACATGACTCTGACTCCTTTTTTTTCTCTTTCTATGACTGCTATTTTATGCATGACAAACTGACTTGCTTACTGCTATGTGGTTGGCTGTCTTTTCACTTGAGTGTCCTGTGTTTGTAGTGATTGCTTTTGCATGAGGATTATAAAATGTCATACAAATTAAATGGTTGCGGAAACAAAAAGATACTGTGGGGCTTCCCTTGCTTTTTCTGTGTGCTGAGTATGTCAATTCTGTGACACTTAAAATTACTTTCATATGGTCTTTAACTTCCCCTTTGGTGTGTTTCTTTATTCCCGCAAATTAGCATTGTTAAATATAATAAAACATTTGTTAAATATTCAGTGTTTTAGGACAATTATTCTTCCAAAATCTGAAATCCTATTATAAATAACTATACTGGGCATCAGATTGCAGTAGGGCATCATCCCATTGAATTGCTAAATTGATTATGAAATATTAGCAAGCTCTGACTCTGTAACCACCTTTATAACTGAAGACTGACTTCTATTGACGGCACCTTTGCTCTGCCAAGTGATGAAATTATACATTTGTGCAAGTTACACATGTCTTAAATGTGCAGTTAATATTTAAGAGAAAACACATGGGGAAATATTTATGTAATAACAAGTAATTTTAAAAAGTCACAGTTTTGAAAATGCATTAATTAATAATGTGTAAAATCCAAGTGTTAATGTTCTTACTAAAAAAAAAAAAAAGAGGAAAGAAAGAAAATGAACAATCTATTACTGTTCATGTCTGTTTTCTCTACTGTTATTATATTGTCCCAAATTAAAGAATGAGTTTGACCTACTTTATGTTGTCACCAGTTGAAATTAGAAAAGACATTGAATAACCTCTTTCAGCTCATGAAACGGTTTACTTTTTTGTATGTGGGGGGTATTTTTTAAAAATCAGTTCCTTTGCTTACGATCTACATTTCAAATCGTAGTATATTTTTTATGCTGGATATATTTGCAAGCCAAATTTTCTATGAGATATTTTGGGGAAAGGAATCTTTTTTTCTTAAACAAAGTAGGTAATCAACTATGATGTAACCGCTTCCCCATGCTTTTTGGAACTGTCCTTGAGAATTTTAATATTTACATTGATTTTTTCCCCCTCAGTCTTGTTTATTCTTGAATTGTCTTTTTTTTTCCCTCCATTTCTCCATTCTCAATCCTAGGTCCCCTTACAAAGAAACAGACAGATGATTTAGGTGATAATGAAGGTGCTGAAGATGAAGGTATTTTTTTTCCACCAAATCTATTTGCATGAAAAGGCCTCAATCACTTTTTCCACCCTTTCTATTTTTTTACTTCTTGTCTTTTTTTGAAGAGTTGTTTTTAATTCCCGTTTTTGATGTGTTTTGTCTTCTTGCTTGTTGTTACATATAAATACACATTAAATTTTTTTTTTTTACAAAAATGAATGTTAAGTTTTACATTTTGATGCCAATCATTCAAATGTTTTCAAAAGAGGGGCATTTTTTTTTTGTTTTCTTGAACTGACTTTTGATATGTTTCATCCCACGTTTTGACTGAAATTTGTCCATATTCTTTGAACTAACAATTTCTCCCTGTAGTCTCTCTGTGCCCATTTTGCATGTTTTCTAATCTATGTAAATATTTTACCCGATATCAAATGTGTTTTATTTTTACATTTGACATTTGCTTAAAAAGAGCCCCACACCTAATACGATAAAGGACAAACTAAAAGCTGATATAAGGTGTTTCTTCAGCAATATATTTTATATTAGTCTTTTAAAAGTTTCTGTTGATTTGCTTAAATATCACAAAAATAAAATAAAATTATATAAGTAAGGAAAGGCATTCCACCAGTGTAACTACCTGTAGTAAACATTGTCAACCACACAGCTACTCTGGGCTTTAAAAAATATTTTTGAGCATTTATAGGTATTTTTTCAAATAGACTAAATGAGTAGTCTTTCATCTCAAAGGCACATCATTCTAGACTGACAAATAAAATACTCTGAATTTCCAAGTATTGCCAACTATGTATTTTATTAATATAAAAATTGTCCCCTTTTCTTTCTTCTTTTCTTTCTCCTTTCTCCTCCTCCTCCTCTTCTTTTTCCTCCTGGTCTTTTTTGAATGCTGCTCTAGTTAAAATTTTACAACCCCAGGTTTAAAAGTAATTCCAAGAAACCTAGAAATGAAATCTCATAAGATATTTCATAAACTTCTTCACAATAGAAAATTAAATTTTAGGGGTAGAGTACGGAAGACCCCAAAATTATATTGGTGTTAATATATTTAAATAATTTAAGAATTGCTCTGATGAAATAAAAGCTATCGCATTTGATTAAAAATTCCTTTACCATGAACTCAAGCAGGGAATTGGAGACTTAAATACAAAACAGTCATGTATATTTGAAATAAATCATGATAGCTTCTTAAGTTATTTTGAATGCTAAATTGCTAAAAAAATATATTTAAATATCAAAATGCAGAATGTTACATTTTAAAAACTTTTGGAAGTCTGATTCAGTTAGGACCTTTATTGACTTACAAGGCATGGGCTGCTGGTCCCAGTGTTCCAATGAAATGGAGTTCTGGTTTGAGGTTTTAGAATGTATTGAACGCCATGGAAATCTGTACGTCCTATACATTTGTTATCTAAAGAATACTTCGGTACGCAGGACTTCGACTTCATAGTGGGTATCTTGGTAAACTCTAAATTTTCCCAATGTAGCCACAAGGTCAGTACACATCATATTTCTATTTCAAAAATATTTTGATTACTGATGTGATATGACCCTTTTTTGGTTTTGGTGACTTACACAGCATCAAGTGAGCCATCTCCATATTTAGAATAGATACCTCTGAGCAGCCATAGTGAGTTAAGCCCTGTAAACATGGACTTATTTTATAGACTTGTTTTGAAGCACATTTAACATTTTTAAGTAGCCATTTAAAATATCCTAAACCCCTATTTAAATTGGCAGGAAGTATTCAGGTTAAGTAGTAAGCCACTCAGTCACAAGAGTTACCAAATCAATAAATATTTTTAAATGCTCCAAAGTATAGAATGCCAAAGCAGTCAATTCCAGTTCAGTTTATTTCTCTGAGTTGTTTTGCATAATTGTTTTGAAGACAAGACAGATAAATTCAAATAACCCACAGGAAGAGAAACCTTTTGTGGAAAAGTTTATCTTCAGTTCCTTTAACCGTGATTTTTTTCTATATGGATTTCAGTGAAAACTGAGCCCAATTTGTTTCCAGTGGGAGTTGACATCACTGGACATGAAGCACGAGGAATCGGGTACTTGAGAAACGGCTCCTTGTAGTCCAGTCAGAAGTCAGGTTATCTGGTCATATATATGAAAGTCTCCATGATTTTCTCATACCCCTGCTCCTTTACCTGGGTCCCGGGTCCCTGAGGTCCCATCTCAACCATCGCACTCTGAGGCTACCTCCTGCTGTACTGACTGGGCTTGTCCCACTGACACCTGACCTGAGGGAAGATTCTCAGGGGATCCATGTTCACTTCTAAGTTTTGTTTCTGTCCCTGCCATCTCTCTTCTGCCATATTTAAGGCAATCACACTGATGAGATTTTTCACGGTGCTTTATCTTAAAAACAAATTTAATACTTCATTGGCTATTTCTGTGGTATTTATTTATTTATTTTTGTAGAGGTTTTGGCCTTAAGGGCATGTGCACTTGCCAGAGAGAGAGGCAGAGACAATGAAAGGGAAAATGAGAAATCACTCCCTTGGGGGGAAGGCTACACTGTATTCCCTGCTCCTACATTCTCCTATGGACCTTGGGCACGCACACACACACACACACACACACATGCACACATGAGTTTCAAGCCACTAGTTCTAGGACTCCAACCGTGGGCATGTGGGAGTCCAGCAACGTAACTACTCCACCATCTGCTGACACCACTATGTTTTTGGTTTATAAAAGACTAATCTGAAGTGATACAAATGGTTTAAAGTGACATCTCAGATTTCCACCAATTTATTTAACAAATTAAGAGATATTTAAACTTTTTTCTTTATTCATGAGAGAATGTGTGCACACATATGAGAGAGTGAGAGGGAGAAAGAGAGAAATAGATGGGGGCCCTCTCCTCAGGGTCTGGTCACCCTACAATCCACTTGTTCAGGTCCCAGTCCTCCAGCCCATCAGAAGTCAGACACAAGCACATGAGCCGCCATGTCTTCACCCAGCCTGGCTGAGGATTAACAAAGTTCTTCATTGTGCCAATGATACCTTGGTTTTAACATTTCGACATTTAAATGCAATTTTGTATTCTACATAGAGCTTTTTAAAAATGATCCTTATATAAGGCTAGCCCTAAGCACGGCAGTTTAGAGAGCTAGATCCTACATGGTCCACAGTGATTAGAGGAGAAAGGATTGTGGCATGGCCATGCCCCATGGGACTTCTCTCTCTCTCTCTCATCTTTTTCTTTCGCTCTCCTGTGCATGCACATGTGCATGAGAGCATATGCCCCCTGGCAGTACACAATTAAAAAATAATACTTTGCTCTGTATATTTTTGAATATTTTTTAACTAAAAATATATCTTTTGGTTGCTAAGTCCAGTTTAACCAGCACAAATTTAGTCAGCACTTCTATATTCTTTTGCTGGTTTTGAATGATAACCGAGCTTCTTAAAAATGAGAGGCACAAAATGTCTTAAAATGTGTTTTTACATAGCAGAGAAAGACTTAATTGAGGCAATGCTTCACAATGTTAAGACTGTTAAATCCCCAAACTCTAAAATATGGACAATTAAACACTTCATGGGAGCTTTAAAGAGAAGGAAACCAGTGCACACATTGAAGGAGTTATATTGCTGAGAATTAACGGCTGGTGTCGTTAAAGGGAATTGTGATTCCAAACCCCAGTTGTCAGACACAAATAAATACCCATTAACTGCTTTAGATCTTTGGCACTTGCTACATTGCCTTAAAATGTTTGTTTATCAGAAAGATCAAGTAGTTACTAAAATTTAGAATCAAGGTGTCTACTCAGATTCAAATTTGCTATTTTTTAACTTGAAAAAAATTTTAATAATTTCTTAAAAATTTAGAGGAAAAAGAGTTATTATGGAATATTTTCCCCGTATCATTGCACTCTTTTCAGAGCCCTATGCTTAGCAAGGCTTAAAACACCATAAATACGGGCCAGCTAGTGGCATAGTGGTTAAGGCTGCGTCTACCACCCAGTGGCTTGAAAAGCATGCTGGGTGTATTTGTGTGTGTGCCCCAAATAATCCTGAAAGGACAAATGGTGGACTAAGGATTGTGGCATCCTGCCTAGAGAGTGCTTTCTCACTTTCACTCTTCTGTGTCTCTCTCTGATGAGCACACGTGCACTCTGGCAAATTAAAAACAAAAACAAAACAACAACAACAACACACTGGGAACAGCAGATGGTGAAATGGTTACATTGCTGGACTGCCATGCAGTTGATGGCAGTTCGGGTCCTGGACTAGGCAGCTTAAAACTCATGCCTGCATGTGTGTGTGCGTGCCTAAAATCCTGAGAGGAGAATGGAGAAGGGATTGCAGTGTGGCCATCCCCCGCCCCCTTCGGGGGTGATTTCTTGCTTTCTGTCTCTCTCTCTCTGTCTTTCTAGCAAGCGCATGTGCCCTAGAGCAAAACTCTTTCTTTAAAAAAAAAATGCAAACAACAGAAAATATAAGCATGTTTGATGGAAATTTTTATCAGAACTGAGCTAGGGTTTTAAGATCTCTGAAACTGTTCTTATACTTTTAGTGGAATCCTAGCAGTTGTTTAGTCAAAGTCAGAAATCTTAGGTGAAATCTATAGCTTGCATATTCCAGCTTATTTATAGTTGGTTAAAATACTAGACAGTTTAGAAGGACAACTTGGCTCTAAAGCAATAATTATAAATTACTAAACATTTAATATATTTGCATTTAATATATATACACTTAATATATTTGCACTGAAGCTACTCTCAAAATTGTATTCTTAAGATGATGGCATTAGCAGGCAATATTTAATGGTAGGCTACCTACTGTATCAGTTGGGCATATAGCAATTCTGGCTCCTTTTAACAAAGTAGATAGTTACAATTTAAGTAATTTATTGTTAAGATCCAGAATACCTTTAGACTATGCAAAAGACTAGTCTAGGACAGAAACCTGTGTTAGAATGTTATAAAAAGTAAAGTCTAATATA